ATTGTATACATTAAAATTAGGTAATGATTAAGTAATATATATCATATATTTACCATGTATTCACACACACACACACACACACACACACACACACACACAGAGAGAGAGAGAGAGAGAGAGAGAGAGAGAGAGATACAAACACACACACAAAGGAGAAAGGAAAAAAATTTCAAAGTGAACAAGTGGTTTGTTTACCACATATTTTTTCTTGAACGAGTGATTTAGGTATTGTCTATTCTTTCCAAATGTTTTCTTTTTCTGCTCCTACTGTCTCAGTCGCACACAAAAAGTAGCAGCTCTTTATGTAACCAAGCTGCAGGCTTCACAGAAGTGCAATGACCTTCAAATCTCCACAGATATTATATTTATATTTTTCATCCTAGCTCTTTTCCCCAAACTTGTTTTGTGTTCTCATATGACTCTTTCATGTTCACAGCATGGCCAAAGACACAGAGAGTGTTTTGTTTGGATTATGAAGAAGGACAGCTTTCAAGTTCATTTCTGAGGCGTCAACAAACAAGTGCCACTCATTTACCTGGTGTTTATGGCCAAAAATCTCCATAATCAAACAAGCATCTCTACTGTAAACTCTGGCACCAGACTGACAAGGAATTGTTCCCCACTGACAAGGAATTGTTCCCCACTTGTACAAACCTGATGTAACCCGTCCCTGCCTTCTATCTTTCTATCTTTTGTGATACCTTCTATATTTACCGTGAGGTTATTTTTCTAGAGAACAATAACATCTAGATTTTAGTTAATGATTCTAACAAATACACTACTACCATTGTTAAAATATAATACCTCAATGTCATTAATTCAACAGAATGAAGAAGATAGAGCCACATGAAAACTAGAGAGCCAATTTGATTTAATTAATAAAGCACCAGGCTGGAAACTATGAGATTGTAAGTTTTAATGACACTTTAGACACGAAAAGCTATTTTTATGCCATCTCTGCCCATTTCTTTACCCTGGATTTACTTACTTTGAAGTATAACTCACCCAGGATTCTTTTCAAAGACTAAGTAGCCTACAGCCTAAACATTGGTATGTCCTTGCTGTGGTTGTCTATGGAGATTCTCAGTCATCCAGGTCAGGGTTGTACCAAAGGTGATTTTTCAAGAGGCAATTGGACTTTCTTTTTTCTTTGATGATGTTTCATGGTTGAATTGAATGCATTAGTATTCAATCAGTCTATAAATGCTCCAAAGTAACGGCATCATGGAGGCAAGGTGCCTCCTGCCCAGTGGTGGGATTCAGCCAGTTCGCACCTATTCGGGAGAACCGGTTGGTAACTTTGTAAGCAGTTCAAAGAACCGGTTGTTGGAAGAAACCTCATTTTGTTATTTTCCACTTTACAGGGTTAATCCTATAAGGAAGGCAGGAAGGAAACATTCTAGTATTGTTTCTAGCCTAATCTTTATTGCCCTGCTTACAGAAACTGCCTCTCTGGTTAACCCTTATTACATTGTAACAGCTAAGGCGAAGNTAGAATAGAATAGAATAGAATAGAATAGAATAGGGAATGGGAATAGAATAGAAATAGAATAGAATTCTCGATTGGCCAAGTGTGATTGGACACACAAGGAATTTGTCCTTGGTGCAGATGCTGTCAGTGTACATAAAAGAAAAGATACATTCATCAAGAATCATAAGGTACACCACTTAATGATAGTCATAGGGTACTAATAAGCAATCAGGAAACAATCAATATCAATATAAATTGTTAGGATACAAGTAACAAAGTTAAAGCCATATAATCATAAGTGGGAGGAGATGGGTGATAGGAACGATGAGAAGACTAATAGTAATGCAGACTTAGTGAATAGTTTGACAGTGTTGAGGGAATTAGTTGTTTAGCAGGGTGATGGCGTTCAGGAAAAAACCGTCCTTGTGTCTAGTTGTTCTGGTGTGCAGAACATAGCGTCGTTTTGAGGGTAGGAGTTGAAACAATTTATGTCCTGGATGCGAGGGGTCAGTAAATATTTTCACGGCCCTCTTTTTGACTCGTCCAGTGTACAGGCCCTCAATGGAAGGCAGGTTGGTGAGGCAGGCAAGTGCCTCCAGAGGAAAACTCACAAGTTACAATGAACAAAGTTGCACTTAAATTGGGAGCAACTACTCTCACTGCTTATAGGTAGTCCTCGCTGAACAACTACAATTGGGACTGGCTATTCTGGCACTAAGCGATGCGATCCCTAAGCAAAACATCATATGGCCATCATGAACTTACCCTGCCCCTTTCCATTGAGTTGTTAAGTGAATTGCCATGAGTTATTAAGCGAGACGCCACTGCTACCACTACTTTGTATTGTCATTTTCTCTATCGACTCTGTTTGTTGGAAGCCGATTGTGAAGTGTGCAAATGGCAATCCCGGGACAAACACCGCACAGGTTGTTTTTTTTTTAAGAAAAAAGATTGGATAACTATTTCTTTGAAATGATAATGGGGTTTCCTGCCTGAGCAGGGGGTTGGACTAGAAGACCTCAAAGGCCCCTTCCAACTCTGTTATTCTGTAACACGTTTAGGTGATTCCTTTGCAGGGGTTGATCTGTTTCTTATGGGGTTGGCATCAGAGGTGTTATTCAGCCGGTTCTGACCGGTTCTGGGAAACCGGTAGCGGAAATTTTGAGTAGTTCGGAAAACCAGAAAATACCACCTCTAGTTGGCCCCGACCCCAATATATTTTCTCCCCCCTTAGTCCCAGTCTCCTTCCTCTGCCACACCCACCAAGCCACGCCCACCAAGCCATGCCCACCAAGCCACACCCACACAACCGGTAGTAAAAAAAAATTGAATTCCACCACTGGTTGGCATGCATAACATTTGTAATGCTGCCATAAAATACATTCACCCTACCAGAGAGCTTTTAACCTTGACCTTTTGCCCTCTGGCTAAAGAACTATTAATTTTTTTTAGGGTGTCACTGATTTTCTTCCCTCTTGATCTGTGTCTTCCTGCCTGCAAAGCAGTGTCATTCCATTCCCTTCTCCCCCCTCAGAGCATTCTTTGTTATGCCATCTAGGGCAATAGATTAGAAGCTGGTAGAGTGAAAGGAGGGTTTTGGCATCCCTTTCACAAGCTGTCAGTCTGTCACCTTCTGCCGTTAGTTGGAAATAGTTGAATGGCAGGCGACATCGAGCAGTCCTTGTTCAGAAACGTGCCAGGGGTAGGAGGGGTAATTAAGACCAACCTTATCCTTCCAAAAATTCCTCTGCTTTTCTGGACTCTAGAACGGTATATTTAAAAGATGGGTGCATTCAGACCATTTTATTTTTTTTGGCAAATCAGTA